CAATAACCTGGAGTCTGTAGTTGCATTTAATTCTGAAGTGCAAACCTGGCTGGGTATATCTCTACCTATGCTTTTTTTATTTATTTTGTAAACATGTTATTGATCCAATACTTCAAGACTTCCAGCCACTTGTCCCATATTTGGGGAGCCACATCATATAGAGTCAAGCTGCATGCTTGAAGGATGCAGATGGTTTTCCTGTAGTATCTCCGCTCTCTGATGCCACTTGACATAGTCAGTCATCTAGTTGGTTATCCCTCTTGCAATTCTTAGCTAGATCAAGAGAAACAAGACTGTAATAGGGTCTGTTTCCTTTCGAGCTACAAAGGCCTTCTGAGTTTTTATTTTAAAAGTTTATTTTTATTTAAATGTTTCCATGGCAGCTCTCTAAAGTCACTGAAAAGTCTCCGTCCTGAAGAGCCTGGTGAGTGGTAACCCAGTGCCTTCTTTGCCTGGGGATTAGTTTTCCACGGCCTCAGGCAGGGCTGATGTTGTGACAGAGTTATAATTCATTGCTCTTACTGTAAATCCCCTCCCCCAACCAATCTCCCACAACAGCCACTGATAAGGAAATCTTTCTCAAAGAATGCTCCCAGAGCAGAGATCTTCTGACCTAGAATGGCAGTGTGGGCACTAAGGAGTCTGATTATGCATGCATGGCTTTAGCCACAATGTGGAAGAAGCAAATTCATGGATTGCTACAGTGGCTTTACTTCTTTATTGTTATTTTAAATGCACACTTTCCATTTCTTTAACCAGACTTCAGGGTTGTATGAACTTTTTGGAAGTATAAATCAGGACATATTTACTTGTGGGTGGACTCACTCCCCTTCTTTTCCGCTTCCTCCCATGCCTCCCCCTTCAGGAGCTCATCTGGAGAAATATAAAGTCTGCACACTGGTTTAAAAATACGCCTTCTCAAAAGAAAAACTGATTCGAGCTTTCTCCTCTGTGAGCTCTGGCTCCAAGTCCAAAAAGCCTGCCCTTGGTCCCAGGAAGATTAATATAAGGAGCCCTCTGCAGTTTCTGGGCCCTTTCTTATCAATTTTAGAACCTTTGCCCTAGAAAGGTTTGTATGATGGTGAACTGGAAGAGAGTCCTGCACCTCTTGTTCTTTATTTTACTGGAAAAGACCTGATGAGCAGAGTCCCATTAGCCCAGCAAGTGTGACATGGCTGACCTGCGGCACAAGCAGGGTCCCATTCTAAATTCAGATTTAGACATTAATTTTCTTTTAGTTTCCTCCCAATCCCCTATGTTTTTTCTTCATTTGGAGTTTACAGATATGTTGCAAAATAATATGTCCAGAGCACACAAAACAAATTAAAACTCCTGCTTGCTTTAAATAGATACAAAAGATGAGTGGGAAACCCACAACTGCACTCCATGAAAGAAAGACAGTCCAGTGGTTAGGGAACAAACCTAGGATGTAGAAGACCTGGGTTCAATTCCCTCTTCCACCAACTTCCTGTGTTACCTTGGGCTAGTCACTTAGTCTTTCTGTAACAGGCATTATGAGCACTGCCCTAATGAGATGTCCCGCTGCTGGAAAAGAAGGACAATGTTGAATACTTACTAATGTCCAGAAACCTAATACTTCACCTTGTACAACCCCTTCTGGCTGATAAACTTTAAGAGCTTCCATCTCTCTCCCTCTACCAAACCCAAGAGGGTTGAGAGGTGGGCAATGGAGCTCTAAACCCTGTCTTTACTAATAACTTTTTCCAAGCTGAAACACAGAAATTAACATGATTCTTGTAAGTTTCACTGATACCTCAAGGGTTCTGAATAACAGCAGCAAAACTGACCAGGGGCTTGCTAATTTCATTCCATTGCTGCATGGTAAAACTATGAGCAGCACCACAGGCACTGTACTGATCTATGGATTAATGAAGACAGTACTGCACTGATTTACATTCAGAAGCTATTCTTTATAACCATATGTGATAAAAAAAAATTTCCTAAAGGAAGTTTAAATTCTACATAACTATTGCAGGTCCACTCAATTGCTAAGGAAAGCTTCTCAGTCACCAGGGTAAGGAGACTTTTCAACCCATTGTGATGTCACATGAACACTAAACTTTTAACATTACTGAAGAAGTCAGACAGCACCAGGGATTGATTATATAGCAAAATCTACAAGTGATATTCAAACATCCTGGTAATCTGCAATGACAGGAAAGGAAATCTAGAAAATGCCCATGATAATTTAATTAGGTTTTAGATAAAATACTTATTTTTAAAATGTTAGACCAGGGATCGGCAACCTTTGGCCCACGGCCCGCCAGGGTAAGCCCCCTGGCGGCCCGGGCCAGTTTGTTTACCGGCCGCGTCCGCAGGTTCGGCTGATCGCAGCTCCCACTGGCCGTGGTTCACTGCTCCAGGACAATAGGGGCGGGCGCTACTTCCTGCAGCCCCCATTGGCCAGGAGCAGCGAACCGCGGCCAGTGGGAGCTGCGGTCGGCCAAACCTGCGGATGCAGCAGGTAAACAAACCGGCCCAGCCCGCCAGGGGGCTTACCCTGGCAGGCCGCGTGTCAAAGGTTGCCGATCCCTGTGTTAGACAGTGGTTCCTTAAGAGTTTATTAAATTCTATATAGCAAAAAAAAAAAAAAAAAAAAAAAAAAA